CACACACACGCACACAATTCTGGGCACCAGACAGAGAGGATGGAGAGGTGGGCACAGGAGGAGGAGGTTTTCTCTGACTCTCCCCCAAAAGGGCATCAGAGCTGGCTGCCAGACTGCCTGAGAAGCTGGGGCCAGAGAGGAGTGGTACCTCTACACTGAGTGCATCTCAGAAATGCTGAGGAGCGAGCTCTGTGCCTTGGGCTCGCTGGAGAGAACCAAAGGGGTTGGGGAGAGCGACACAGGGACAGAAGGGGCTGGGCTCTGCGCTCTTGCTTGCTGACCCTGAATCTGGAGCTTCACTTTGTCATCCTTCATGCTCCCCAGGACTGCCCCCCTCCCTGCTTCTGCACCATAGGAGACCCCAGCGATGTCCAGGCAGTGGAAAGCTGCTGAGATTCCCAGGGGATGCAAGTGAGGGAGGACCCTTGGGGCTGCCACCCCAGAGTCAGTGGAGAGCTGTGTACTGCGGGCCTGAAGCCAGGCCAGGGCCTCAGGGTGGCTAGGGGGAGGATGGGATGATGCCTAGAGACTTCTGGGAAAGGAGAGCGTGTGATACCCTAATCTTGGGCTCACCCTGGGGAAGAAGGTCCAAATGGAAGCCAAAGGGTCGTGTGTGCCTGCCTGGTCCCCTCGGCTTTTCTTGGTTACAGCACTATCCCCTAAGGGGCGAGGGAGTCCGCGTGGGGCTGCCCCTGTGGCAGCTGGCTCGCCTGCCCAGCTAGGAGAATACTGGAAAGAAGGACCAGCAGAAACAGGTTCACCAGCTGATTGCACAGCGCTTCGGGATCTGGGCCTGCAGAGAGGTGAATGTTTAGCATTCCTAGCCTCGGGTGCCTTGGAGAAGTGAGCTATTTTCGTATTACTCTTACACATAATGCCCAGTTAGAGCCCCTCAGACCAGGAGGAGGAGAGGGCCACTGATGGGGAGAGCCCCAGGATGTGAAAGGAAGCCCCACTTCACCTCTTTGGGTGGAGGGAAGGACAGCGGACCCCAGCCCGGGGGGGGGCCTGCCCTGGGATTCAGAACAGGCTTCTGCGGGTTTCCACGGAGCCAACGGCTCTAGGGCTCAACTTGTTTCCAGGAAGGAACATCACTGGGGGAGAGGAGGCACAGAAGGCCGAAGCCCGAAGAAAGTGCGTGTACGTATGGGCAGGTGGAGAGAGGCTGGGGTGTCAGGGAATGGCTAATGCCTTCCTCCCCACCCCTCAGTTGCCACCAAGCTATGAGGCCGTAAAGTCACTGCCTGCACCATCACCCAACTGTGGCTTTGATTGCCCACCCCATGAAGCAGCAGCCCCCCGGCCCTGCTCTGCTCAGCACAACACTGCTGTATAGGAGGGAACCTCTTGCATCCTGCCCCTTCGAGCTTCTCCAGAGGCCTGGCAGGGACAGTGCTGAGCTGACAGAGACGCCCCCAGCAATCTTCCCAGCTGGGGCCTTGGTACATGAGACCCCACAAGAAGTGGGGTGAAACCCTGGGTCACCTCTGCCAAGGATCTGCATGTGGAGAATCTGGGGTCATGCCCTGAGAGAACAAAGTGCCAAGTTCAAGGCAGATCTCGCGAACTGTGGGGCTTCTGTGCCTCCAATCCCTGAAGCTCCTGCCTGCAGGGCAGAGTCTTTGAAGCCACTGGACTCTACAAGCCCCCCTGTGGCTGTAGCCCAAACCACCTACCTCCAAAGGCCAGGACGGCCCTCTGCCCCAGCTGAGGCTTTCTTCCTGGCCCTTCCACTGGAAGCTAGGCTTGAAGGTCTTGGGTTGGATTGACAATGAAGGCCTGTCCCAGCCCACTCTAGGCCCAGACTGAGTATTCCTAAAGCCAGATCCTCGGAGGCTGTTTATGGTTTGAGATAAACCAAGAACCAGAAAAGGATGTGAGGTGGGTGTGCGGAAAGAAGCCCATTTGTCACTCATTTTGCCACATCATTGAAAGGACCTGGGTCCACCTGGCCTCTCTAGGCCGGATCCATGGGGGGGTCCACCATGTGGCCATTCCAGCGGCTACAGCCCCAGCTCCCTCCAAATGTGGCTCCAGGAGAGGACATGACCTTGTTGCTTCCTCTGTAGCCCCTCCCATCCACTCCTCCCAGGACCCCTCCGGACAAGGGATGGGGGGTGGGGGGGGTGGTTCTCCTCTTCCTTCCCCTCGGGGAGATGGTGTTAAAGCAATCCCCTCCTCAAAAAAAAAAAAAAAAAAAAAAAAGCAATCCCCTCCTCACACACACTCCCTTCCTGTCATTTCCTCACTCTGAGAGCTCTCTTTCCTGCTCTGCGGTTGTTCCTCGTGTGCACCACCGAACGTGGCTAAGGACGAATAAACGCGTAAGGAGCCCCGGCCAGGTTTATCCCCACACAGCACAGGCTCAGGACTCCAGCAAACTTTATTTTTGGCCCCAGGTCAAGTCTCCCAAAAGGCTTCCCAGCCAGTCACTTCAGAGACTTCCGCAATCACCGCCAAGCAGACTTCCTCAGGAGGCCCTGTTGTCCCGACCCTTGACTTCTGCTGTCACCCTCTCCTGTCACCTGGGCTCCAGGCTCCAACCAATGGCCTCAACCAGGAGTTCACAGCATAGCTACCAGTTTGAAGGTGCCCTCAGGCTTGGCAGGAACCACGTGGACAAAAGTCTTATAGAGCACAGCACCCTTGGGCAGCCTGGTGACCAGATCCACATCCTCTGCGTTGCTGGGACTGGGCACGTAGACCTCCTTTGTGTAGCGGACTACCCCTTCCTCCAGAGCATACAGGTACTTCTTCTTCCCCAGCCCCACCTGCAACACAAAGACCTGGTCAGCTGGACCCACAGCCGGGAGGTCCATCCCAGGGCTTCGGGATAAACTTCTCATAAGGATTCAGGCTCTGGGACCAAGGGGGGGGATCAGAAAGCTCTATCTCGGGTTCCCTTTCCTGCTGCCTGGCACCTCCTTGGCATCTAGGGCTCTGTAACAGAAGAGGGAAAAGAAAACTCCAACAGCCAATCCTCGCGGGTGCTCAGTCCCTGAAGGCTGGTCTCTAGACCCATGTCTGTGCGGCTGGCCGGGCACCACACCGGACAGATCCCCAAACTAGGCCCGGGAAGATGCCCCTAAGCACTGCCCCCTGGGAGCCGGCCTCACTTAAAATTAAAAAACACTGGAGTTGTCATAGTAAACCTGAGCTTGACATAGTTTCGTCCTACATAGTGACCTCTGAAGTTTAGGCTCTAAGGAAAGTATGGACCAAGGCCCTATGGTAATACGTCATCTAACAGAACAGCAATCATAGTGACAGGCACCAGTCCTTTCACAGCGCCTGCATGTGCAGGCAGTGCTCCCCTGACCCCTTTAGTCCTCACCTTGTGAAGCAGCTACCATTTCTAACTGCTCTCGATGAAAACGATGAGTGGAGAATAAACTACGTGTTGAGTATACAGTTTGTAAACTGCATATATTTTAGCATTTTTCCTTTAGAACTTGAGATTGGATGTGGGGCAACTTTTACCCAGGCAATAGAGCATTATTCAATATTTCTCTGATTAAAGGAATGGGCTCTGGAGCCAGGATGCCGGGTTCAAATCCCAGCACCACTACCTACTGTCGTGTGGCCTGGGCAAGCTGCATTACTTCACTGTGTCTCCGTTTTCTCATCTGCAAAATGGGGATAATATTAACTACTTTTATGGGGTCCCCTCAAAGATTAAGTGAGTTAATCATAAAGAGCTTAGAATACTGCTTAGCTCAAAACACGTCAGCTTTTATTACTGCTGCCGCTATTTGAGTGAGTCCCCAGGGTTACCACAGCCACACAGCTAGGGCCTCAAGTTCTAAGAGACAAAGCTACTACGAATGCAATCCATTCACATGTAAACTAGCATTTCTGACCTAATTATTGGCTAGTATCAGTCTTTATATGCCTACTAAAATGGCCAAAAAAGGGGCGGTGAGGGGACTGATTACAAAGGAAACTAAACTAACATTTAAGATAATGTGAAGAGTACAGTATGGGGGTGCCTGGGTGGCTCAGTCAGTTAAGCAGCCCACTCTTATTTCTGGCTCAGGTCATGGTCTCGGGGTTGTGAGATCGGGCCTCCAAGACAGGCTCCAAGCTCAGCTGGGAGCTCAGACTCTCTCTAATAAATAAATCTTAAAAAAAAAAAAAAAAAAAGAGTACGGTACAGATCTGTGTTAACAAAGAACCTTCCTACCTCAGAAAGTAATCCCAACTTGCCGAAAACTGAAATCCCTGCCTGATATGGACCTAGTTTCTGGCACATACACTGAATTCTATTTTATTAAATTCAAACTATCTTTCAGGCATCTGATAACAATTTTATGCAAAAGAGGATTAGCAAGAAGGAAAAAGGAATACACTGAAATTAGTTTCCCAAGATTCAAAAAGTATCTCAAATCACTAGGCATCTCCTCCTCTAACAGGTGGGGTTAGAAAGGAGACCCAAGAGAACCAGGCTGATGCTCCACAAGGCAAAGCACAGTGGCTGGGAGGCAGGCAGCCCCAGCACGATCCCCAGCTCTGCCATGTGGCCCCCTCCACTCCCTAAGTCTCTGGCATCCTACCTCGAAAATGGATACCTAGTGATACCTAGTGCATCATGAGGATGGGCTAAGGATGAAACGAGACAATGCAGGCCCAGGAAGCAAAATGATGCTTGGCATTTGCTAAGCATCCCATAAACACAACTGTTTTATTATCACTACCATGCTTAGGAACAGAGAGAGGTGGTCCTGGGAAAGAAAAAAGGGGAAAGGGCCACAGAGGAACTCACATGGGCGCCTGGGTGCCAACGGAAGTGGCGCTGAGTCGCAAGGATGTTGCCAGCATGGACATAGTGACCTAGAAGAAAAGTCCATAAGCACGCTGACTGTGGGCCCCAGTGATGGGGCAGCACAGCAAACTGCTGAAAAAACATACCGGCCCTCGATTTCCTGGCCCAGACGCTACACACCAACCTCTAAGCCTGACCCTGGACAAAGCCAATTCCTACATGCTTAGACACAAGCAGCCCCCATCTCCCTCTGCCAGTCTCACCCCCTGAACCACCACCCCCACCCCCAGTCTCCACACTCTTCTCTCCAATCACATGGCCCAGGTTCACACCTATCTGCTCTTCCTCAGGACCCCCTCCCTGCCTCAGGTCTTCTCTGCATCTGTAATCTGGAGCCAAGTGCTCTGGCGAGCTAAGCGGAGAGTACAGGACCAGGAGGGGGCATGGTCTTCCTGTTCTGCAAAGGAATGCCAGGGACAGCAAGGGAGGGTGTAGCTGGAAAATGGAAGCCAAGGCACACGCTCACCCTCCATTTTCTTGAGGCCAAAGCGTTTGCCTGGTGACTTTCCACCCAGGTTTTTGGAGCTGCCACCTGTCTTCTTGGATGCATATCTGATGGCAAGAGACGCAGCCTGAGGGGGGCTCAGCAGGGCTGTAACTGCAGACGGAACAGAAATGTTGTTCAGAGAGGCTCCCAATCACTCTTTCTCTGCCTCAATGGGCCATTTGGTAAGCTGAGAGGTGGCGGGGGTAGTGGCGGGGGAGGTGAGGAAGATACGTGAGCAGAAATGCCACTTGACTGTGTTGGTGGTTTTCAGGGAGTGTCTGAAAGTCCTTGGCCTTCTCCAAGGCAGGGGACAAGTCATTCCTTGTATTGTCCAGGGCGTATGCCCTGCATGAGAAGTGTGTGTGTGGCCTGGGGAGGCGGTGGGCAGTGAAATATTCACGGAAAGAAAATAAACACCATGTGCCCTGGGTCCTGACACATTCAGTCCTGTTGAAGAGAAACAAACACCACAGGAAATATAAGCCCGCGAGAGGACACCACAGAGCTGCTGGTTTCAGCCTCACTCACCACATGTCCTCAAGGCTCCAGACACTGTGGAGGGGCTGGACCACAGAGCCCAGCAATAGGACACCCAGAGAGAGGGTCCTGCTTTGGCGTCATCCACCACTTTCTCAACCATTCACCCATCCCCTGCACACCAAATACTCGTAAACAAAAAGGGCAGCTTCTCGGAGGGTAGCTCCCACAGGCTCTTAGCTATTTCAGAAGGCTGGACTCTTTCGTCAGCAAGCCCACCCAGTACGTGTCCTGACCAAGAAGACTGACGCCCTGCCCTTGACAACCTGACCTCTCCATACTCATTCCAAAATGCTCAACGGCATTTCTTTTTAAAAGGAGAGTGAACTAAAATTCATACTAACTAAGTTGGAAGCCACTTGCTATATGACAAGCACAGGGCTGGCAGTCCTTGCCTTCCGGTCTCCAGACACAGCCCTGGTTAATCAGGGTTATGCCAGAATCTTTAGAGAAGCCCTGTGAGTCTCCAGAGCCTACAAGTTCAGAGTTCCTGAAACCAGGTTTCTGAAGTTTTTTTTGTTTTTTGTCTTGTTTTGTTTTAAGATTTTATTTATTTATTTGACAGAGAGAGACACAGCGAGAGAGGGAACACAAGCAGGGGGAGTGGGAGAGGGAGAAGCAGGCTCCCCGTGGAGCAGGGAGCCCGATGCGGGGCTCGATCCCAGGACCCTGGGATCATGACCTGAGCCGAAGGCAGACGCTCAACGACTGAGCCACCCAGGCGCCCCCAGGTTTCTCAAGTTTTAATGATAGAGAGTAGCTGGGACAAAGGACCAGAAATAAATGCTTAGAAAGACATGTTAAATGCCCAGCACCAAGATCTATCTACCTTTAAATCTATTCATTCATTCATCCTCTAACTTATTAAGCTGAGGAATGGGGCTTTTGTTTTATCTACATTATCTCTTTCACAAATCTTTGCCCTTCAGCCTACTCCCCATCCTCCACCTCAGAGTAAAGGATGCTACCAACTATGCAGTTGCTTGGGCAGAAACCAGAGAGTCATTGCAGATCACTTTCCTTTGCTCGTCTCACATATCCAGCTCACGAGCAAACTCTGAGTTTTATCTCCAAAACTGATCTTAAAACCACCCATTTCCCCCAAGTTCACGGACACTAGCATCTTGGCTAAATCATGTCTCATCAGGACTACTATTACTGCTTCCCATCTGTTTTCCTCCTTTCCACTCCTACCCCCTTTTAAATTCACGTAAGCGCAATGGTTTGCTTCTCAACATGTAAAACTGGCTTATGTCACTCTCTTGCCCCTCATTCTCTACCAGGGCTAGGCCTCCCGTCATCCTTTAGGTCTTAACTTAGATGTTACCTCCTTGAAGGGCTTCCCTGACCACCAACCCCCCAAAAGACAGCAAACACACATTTTTGCTTTCTTTAACAGCACTCGTCACAATTTACAACCATTTTGTTTCTGTGCTTATTTTTGGCTTATCCACTAGAAAGAACTGGCCTGGGAGATAGAGACTGTCTTCATCTCTGCTGAGATCCCCAACACCTAACTGCACTGTCTGGCACAGACTTTAATCTGTTAACTTTCTGAGCTCCAGTGTGCCAGTATTTATAGATGAAAGGATCCACGGAGTGCAAGCGGCGTGCCCACGTCACCAAAAGCTAGGGAAGCTGTACTTGCGCGCGGGGCAAAGGAAGGACACACGCTCCGCGAACCACCACCCAAGGCCGGGCGCCCGACGTGGTCAGTGACAGCTGCCCCTCAAAGCTCGAGGGCCCCCCGCGCTCTCCCGGCTCGGCGCCTAGGGGCCTCCGCGGGGAACGGCCTCCACCCTCAGGCTCCCTGCAGGGTCCCCGCTCCGCCTGCACCCCTCGCCCCGCAACAGCCACGGCGTCCCGTTACCAGCCACCCGCGTCCTTAGCGCCAGCGCCACCGACGCCATGTTTGCCGTACACTCGCTTCCGGTCTCAGAAATCTGCTTCCGCTACCGGGCGATCTGCTTCCGGGGCCTGCGCTGCAGTTGAAAGAGTGGCGCGAAGAGTCACAGGTGAGAGCTGGCGCGGCGGGCGGCGGGCGGCGGGTTGGGGCCGGAGTTTTGAGCGCCGCGCGGCAGGGCCTCGGTAACCAGGGTGTCCGGGGCTCCGCCGCGCGGTGAGGACGCGCCGGACCGGCCTGGTAGGCAACCTCGGTTTGCCGGACTCTGGCGAGGTGCAGGGAGCGGACTCAGAGGAGGTCCCTCCCTAGACTTTCAACGTCCTTTACCGAGGGCTTACTATCGGCTGCGTGCTGTGCTAAGCGCTGTAGAGGCACGATTTCAGTTACTTCGCACAATCTTATGAAGTAGGTGTTGTTATCATCTCTGTTTTACTATATTGGAAAGCGAGGCTCAGGGAGGTTACGTGGCCCATCCGGGGTCACACCTACAGTGTTAGTGAACCTTTATTCGAAGAGTGATTCTTGTACACGACCCAGCAGTTGCACTTCCAGGTATACATGCAACAGAATTGAAAACCTGTCCCCACAAAAACCTGGACATGAATGTTCATGGCAGCATTATTCATAATGGGCAAAACCCGGAAACCAAATATCCGTCAGTGCTGAACAGAGAAACAAATTGTGGCAGATCTATGCAGTGGAATGTTATTCAGCCATAAAAAGCCATGAAATACTGACACGCGCCACAACATAAACGAACCTTAAGAAACATGCTAAGTGAAAGGAGGCAGTCACAAAGGACCACATGCTGTATGATTGTTTGTACTAACTATCCAGAACAGGCAAATCCATAAAAAACAGAAGTAGATTTGTGGTTGTCAGGAGCTGAGGGACAGGGAAGTGAACAGTGACTGCTTAATGGCTATGGGATTTCTTTTTGGGGTGATGAGAATATTCTGGAATTAGACAGTGATGCACAGTTTTGTGAATATACTAAAAACTACTGAACTGTACACTTGAAAGAGAAGTTTATGGTATGTGAATTTTATCTCAAATTTTAGAGGAAGGATGACTTGACATCTGCATTTCAAATGCAGAGATCAACAAGGGGGTGGTGTTGAGTCTTGTTACTACTGCATTAACATTTTCCGATAGTAATCTCCACTTTGTTTCTAGGTCACCTTGACCTAGAAGGGATTTGAGGAGTCCTGTTAGACTACAGACAGCTGAGTTCCAGATTGAATGTGTTGGGACAGTATCCTGTTTTTCTGTTTCTATATTGTATGTATTTCCATAGTTTGGCCACAGAACATGTCTAATGGACTGAGTTCAGTGCTACAGTCTGCATCTCATCTCTTTTCCTTTCAGGGGATTAATTTGACAGCACGTATTGATGGCTCTAAAGAAGTCATCACTGGCACTGGATTCCAGTGAGAGTGAGTCGGAAGAGTTGCCAACATTTGCCTTCCTGAAGAAGGAACCATCTTCAACAAAGAGGAGGCAGCCTCAGAGGGAGGCAAAAATCGTTGTGGTTGACACCTCAGATTCTGAGGCCTCCTGTCGTCCGTCACCAAGGTTGAAAGATGTACCACCTATCCGAGACACGGCTGAACCGGTCACACAAACAGAGCCAGTCAGGGTGCTAAGCAGTGAAAGTGAGGATGAGGAAGAATTAGCTCCCCTGGCTGAGAGGCTTACCTGTAAGTTTTTGACCCGCAAGCAACTGAGCCCTGAGGATTCTAGCTCCCCAGTTAAAAGTCTATGGGATCACCGAAATAGTGCAGGAGCATCATGTGACTGGGAAAACCAACCCTTTCCAAAGGTCCCTGATCTTCCCCTCCATGAAACCTCAGAGAGACATGCATCAACTAACAAGGACCCTGTGGGAGACAATCCACGCCATCAGCTTCCGGCCTTCAAAGCTACCTGCCCTGTCCCGAACGGCAGCTGGACCGTAACCAAAACAAATGCTGAGGTCCCCCCACTTCAGAAGAGAACCAAGCATAGCCAGAAGGTCCAGAGAGGCTTGCAGGGATGCCAGCCGCGGAGACAACAGGAGAGGACGGAGAAGGCAGCCCCGGTTAATAGGCTGAAAGCTCAGAGGCCCGAGGAATGCTTAAAGCACGTCGTCGTGGGGCTGGATCCAGGTCCTCCTAGCATTGTGTCTTCTTCCCGAGCTGGGGTGCCCGCTTTCTGGGCCAGCCCCTGACCACCCCTCTCTCATCGTCTGTTGCAGTGCTTTTGCAGATGGAAGGGGGAGGCCAGCTCCTCGGAGCCCTGCAGTCCATGGAGTGCCGCTGTGTGATCGAGGCACAGGCCGTGCCCTGCAGCATCACCTGGAGGAGAAGGGCTGCGCCATCCGAGGTAGCGGTTTTCTGGCCGATGTCTCTCCTCCCCCTTCGAGCTCCCCGATAAATGCGCTTTCATTCTAAAGAATTTTAATCAGGGTCCCAGCAGGAAATCAGCTGGCACGCTTAACTGAGGATAATTTTGAGGAAGATGTAAGAAAGGAACAGTGTTCTAAAGCGTGGGCAGGGTACAGGGCAACTACAAGGGATGACACAGCACCTCACGGTAATGACACCACTAACTCAGGGATTCTCCACCTCGGGTGTAGTCGGCATTTCAAATCGGATAGTTCTCTGTTGTGAGGGGCTGTCCTGTGCACTGTAGAAGGTCGAGCAGCCTCCCTAGCCTCTGCCCACTTAATGCCGGTAGCACCCCCCCCCCCAGTCCTGACAATCGAAAATGTCCAGATGTTGCCACACGTCCCTTGTGGGGAAAAATCGGCCCTGGTTGAGGACCCCTGCATATTTGTTACCATGCCTAGGCCTGAAGGGATGAGGGGAGGAAGTAGTTCCCAGAATCCAGAAGGAGAGAGAAATGTAGAGAGGACCCCCTTGAGAGAAGCTTGCCCTCCCATAGAGGAACATAGCAAACCCTAAGTGACCCATTTCGAGGGAGCCAGGGAAATAGCTCGACTTCACTCCTCCCTCCCTCCCTCCTTCCCTTCCCTTCTCCAGTCTCCTGTTGGGTTTCCCACCCACCATTCCCATTTGGCCATTTGCACCAGAGGGCCTGGTGATGTGGTCTTCTGCAGAGAGCAGAGCGGGAAGGGGGAGAGTGGACCCGCGGGGCAGAAGGAAGATATCTGCATAGGATTTCTGACACTGGGCTTTGGGAATAGGTGGGCTTGTGCTTGAATTTCAGGCCCCAGAGCTTTATTGCTATGACCCTGGGCAAATCATTTCATTTCTTTGTGCCTCATCTGTAAAACAGTGACACTGTTGTATCCCTTTGGGTGCCCTGTGTCATGGGGACTGAGATAACCAAGCCCCAAGCACACAGTAGGGCACACAGCAAATGTTCCTTCCTTGGCCCAGGCTCCTGAGGTTTCTACAGCTCCTGTGCCTTCCGCTCCTCTTATCTGCGAATCCAAAATAGTCCACATTTGCGGAAACATTAAGATTTTTTCCTCTCTTGGGGCGCCTGGCTGGTTCATTCGGTAGAGTGTGAGACTCATGACCTCAGGGTCATGAGTTCAAGCCCCACGTTGGGCATGGAGCCTGCTTAAAACAAAATTGTTCCCCTCTCATTTGGATCTCATAATTTTCTCAGTAGTTTATGGCAACTGCACACTTTTTAATTCGGGGGATTAGCAAATCTTTATATTCAAATCGCAGTGACTTTTCAAGGCGCTTCCACATTCTCACTCCCATGCCCGTGGCAGGCCCCCTACACGGAGGGAGCTGTCACCCCACGTCACAGGCGGGGAGCCAGGTGGGAGAAGTTGAAAGCTTTGTGAAGGGTCACAGCCGATTGGTGGCGGAGCAGGAACTAGAGGCCAGCGCTCCTCCCGCTACACTTGGCTGTGTTAGGGGTCTTGGCATTGGCTTACAGGGACCCAGTGAGAAAAGCCTCCCCACGAGCCCTGCTCCCAGGGCTCCATCACTCCGACCGCTGCAGGAGTGTCTCGCGGGAGGCCGCCCTGTGGCGATGGTGCAGAGGACGGGCCCTCCCGGGCGGCAGCTCCCCTCGTGGCTCCCGACTGTCTGTAAGAGCCACTCAGCTCCCGGTCAGCCTCTGCCCTCAAAGGCCAAGTACTTATTTGCACAAAACCCTCTGGAATTTTCCTTTCCCTCCATTCCCCTATCCAGAGCGTACAGAAACATTGGCAGTTCTCAGCCATTTCAACTCCTCTTCTTCACCGCCTCTGAGACGCGGTTCACCAAGGTTGAACAGTTGAGGACTGGGGAGGGAAGGGGTCATGGGTTATTGTTTCTTGCCACCTGGCTTCATTCCAGAAGAAAAAAAATAACGCAAAAATGGGCTCGGCTGGTGTGGGTGCGTTCATTCACCCCGAAGGCCTGGGTCTCTCTCACAGGTGCTGAGCACCTGCTGACCTGCCTCCCTGTGCTGGGTTCCGGGTCCTTTGGCAGGATGGACAGGAAGACTGGGTGGAGGAACCGACGGTCCTGGCGCTGCTCCCGGCAGAGGCGTTTGTGTCCCTGGTCCAGAACTTCAAGCAGGTGGGCAGAGCAGGCTGGGCGCTAAGGCATGGGACGGGGGCCAAGCCTAGGGAACGAACGTTAACGCAGTGTCTGCCCTTCACGCAGGGAAGTGTGGGCGGCACTGAGAAGGGGAAGGAGACGCTGCGGAGCTTTGTGACTGACGCCACAGCAAGGGCAGCTGGGAAAGCTCTGTCACTGGTGATTGTGGATCAGGAGAAACGCTTCAGGTTTGAATTGGTCCTCAAGACTTAGCATGAAAAGGGGCAGCTCCACCAGAGGTGACCTTACTCATCCCACATCTGGGTCCCCCCCTTACAAGCCCTATGCTCTGGTCGGGTCTTCTCACCCCTGTTCTGCCCGAGCTCAGCCTGGAGCTGCTGCTGTCTGATTTCCTCCCCGGTTCCAGTGCTCCAAACCCTCCAAGGAGAAGGAAGCAGGGAGTGGCAGATAGGGAACAGGCCAAGGAGAAGAAGCAGAGACGACCAGAGGCCAACACAGGGTGCATGGTGTCCAGGGTAGACGTGGAAGAGGTAAGAACTTCGTGTTGCCTGAGTCAGGCTGGGCTCCCACTCTCATTGAACCCGATTTGCTCTAGATCAGGAGCAAAGTGCCCGCCGGACACGCCTTTCTGCCTTGGCACTGAGTAAAAAAGAAGGGGCTAAACAGGGAGCCAAGGGGCTGGGGTGCAGGTTTGGCGGGCATGAGAGAGGAACCTCAGACAAGTCTCCCTCCACCCCTCCAACCCATCCTGCCTTTGGGTCTCTAGGCCTTGGTGGATCTGCAGCTGTACACACAAGCCCAGGCCCGAACGGTGCAGAGCTGGAAAGAGCTGGCCGACTTCGCATGCGCGTTTACGAAGGCTGTGGCTGAGGCGCCCTTCAAGTGAGTGCCCCAGCAAGTCTTGGCTCCACTGCTGGGCCTTGTGCCGTGTAGTGGTTCTGGTCCCCACATATGTCCTTTTCCCCTGAACTCTGCCGCCAGCCCCTTGTCTGTGAGGCTGGTGGTGGACGGAGCCAACCTCGTGCTGGGGATGCTCGTGAGGAGCCCTCAACCCCAGTCCCTTTAAAACGTTCTGCAGTAGCTGCTCTGTAAGTTCATGTTCTCCAGGCTGGTGCTGGGTCACCAGTGAGCCAGGTTACCAAGATCCGTCCCAGGTCAGGTCACGATGTCATAAGCCCTCATAAAACAAACTTTTAGGCTACTTAGCTTTGGGAGTGTTCGTGGTCTGAATTTAAAATAGTAGGGAACCTCAGTCCAGTCCAAGTCCCTCATTTTCTACCCAAGGGAACAGAGGCCTGAAGACTGCCTTGTCTGAACTCCCAGCAAGTTAGAAGTGGAACCAGACTCCTCCCAGATTGCCTGACAGCCAGTCCCTAGTGGCTATCCCCGTGTACACTGCCTCTCTGGTCCATACAACCCAATGTCAACATTGGAAGCAATCTGGTACTTTTCTGGCAACTTCTCTCTTAATGAGAAGGACTAGATATCATTTTTAAGGGAACTAGCAACTAGCACTGCTTGGGGACAAAGTGAGCACCCAAATAGGCGCCCGTGAGGTCTGTGGAGGGAGGGTTTTTAAGTTCCCAGGGAAGGGGACAGATGGGAGTGACGAGTGACTCACAGCTCTTCAACTGCTGTTCACAGGAAGCTTCGAGACCAAACTAGTTTTTCCTTCTGCCTGGAGAGTGACTGGGCTGGAGGGGCAAAGGTGGACCGCGCGGGCAGGGGACTCGCGCTGGTCTGGAGGAGACAGATTCAGCAGCTGAACCGAGTCAGCCTGGAAATGGCCAGCGCCATTGTGGACACCTATCCCTCCCCCCAGCTTCTGGTCCAGGTAGGCTGCTCCAGCAGTCATCCCCCAGCACCCTGTGGCTTTAGTGGGCTCCCAGGCAGTTTCCGTGGAGGGCACTGGTAGTCAGCAGTACAGGCCTGCCGAGATCAGTGAACACTGACCCAGGCACAGAGGACAGGTTCTCATCCCCCCACCCAAGCTCACTGCCCCCTTACTGATGGACAGGGGTGACCCTGGGTAGTACAGTATTGAGAGGTCATCTGCCACTTTCAGGCTTACAGGCGGTGTCTCTCAGAGCAAGAACGCCAGAATCTGCTTGCAGACATACAGGTGCGTCGTGGGGAAGGCGTGACCGCCACCTCCCGCCGGGTCGGACCAGAGCTCTCCAAGCGCATCTACCTTCAGATGACTGCTCTGCAGCCAGATCTCTCTTTAGACAGTGCAGACTGATGCCAGCCCTGGGGGACCAGGATGAAAAGCTGGAGATTTCCACCTCACCCAGCTCGGAAGAGGACCACAGGAAGAGGCTGGGAGCGCCTCCCGAAGCACAAGCCTGGGTCGGGCTCACCACAGACTCCTTCCTGGGTGTATCTGTAGAAGTCTCCCTGCCAACTTGGGACAGACAGCTGAGATACTTGCGTTCACCTGCACAAGCATTCAGTGTCCCTCTCCCAGCGAAACTCCACTGCCGTGCACAAATCGCCCTACCCCAGCAGCCCTCAAAACACGAAGCAACAAAGACAGATCACTCAGACACATATTTAATAATTGTAGAAATCCAGAAGAACCTCAGCTTCAGATCTCGAGATCAGGAGTGAACTTCCCTCAGCGGGCTGGCCAGATGGGGCTGGCCGTGCCCTGCCTCCCTCTCACCCACGGAGGCCGCCTCAGCCAGCCCCCTGCATGTGGGTCTGATCCCTGTGCTGACTTCCCTATCCTCTTAATCTCATCTCACATACTATGTATTTAGTTTCAATAAAGCATTTGTACCAATGGCTCTGGAGCTTGGAGGAAGACGAAGGAACGTGTAGTGATTCTGAGTAAGGTGTGGGCCTTAGCAGCAGAGCTGTCTGTGGGGGAGAAAGGAACAAGTCGCTCTTCTAGTATGAGGACAGTCACGAGTGGCTGTCCTATCCAAATGAGCCACTAAGGCTGAAAGCTGGACCCCACTCTGTCTCTGAATCGTGACAGTTTCTTGCTCTCCTGAGGGAGAGACAAGAAGCTTGCAATGGGGAGTTTTCAGTGAAGGAGCACCATGACGACCATGTCTTATCCCTTCCTCTGGCTTCTGTGAAAGCAGGAGGCCACGGGAGGCCACAGAGCAAGAAGTGGCTTCATCTGGCAGACAGAACAGACAGTCCTGCCCCCGTCCGTGCTAGCCGTTCGTAAACGCAATGCTTAAATTCCATGGTGCTACTTGTTTCCCTTCATTGCGGGGGTGGTTCTGGGTCTAGACCCAAACAATGCCAAACCCCCGGTTCTACGAAACCTGAGTTTGCAGGCTGCCTCTGAGTTTGTCACACCGACTACTGATAGCTGTCACAGACAGAACAGCTTCGCAACGGTCCACCTCGTTTACTGGCAATCAGGGAGTGAATGCTCTAACACAGCCGAGGAGCCCGGCCCGTTTGGTGACAGCCACGTGAGTGGGGGCAGGACTCTGCAGGAGTTGCCCCGGACCCTCATGGCTGGGGGAATTCTATCTGTGGGACACGAAGCTGCCTACCGTCCAAGAGTCTGCACCCCAGCTGAGAGACGCTCAGTTCCGCTATGAGTTCTGGTCTCTCCAGACGTTGTTAAAGAAGCAAAAATGATGGAAAGAGGACACTCAAGTGAGAGTCTAGTTGTGCCTCAAACTAGCTGGGAGACCGTAGGCAAGTCATGGAAGGCCTCAGTTTCCCTGTCTGCACGTATTATATTGGACTGGATGGTCCTGAAGTCCCTTTCACAGCCTAAGATTTTATATGGTCATTAAAATGTCTGAGGTCCTTAAGAAAATAGGTATACCCCCCCACCCCCCAATTTAGGCTAGATTTGCTGAGTATGGTGTTCCCTTAGTCCCCAATACCACACTGCCTCCTGATCTGCCCTGGCTACGCAGGGAGGAATGAAAGAAAGGGTTTGTGACATACAAAAGTATAAATGTAGTGACAGCTGACCTGACCGTTTAGTAGGAACGAGCCTTGCCTTTACACAGCTTTGTGTAACGACTGGAAAAGGCTGTTTTTCCCTCTGCCCACCCCAAGCCTGTTCCTTTAGGCATGCAGGTAACCGGCCCACCTCCCGCTTCGCCTTCCCCCGCCCGGGAGCCCTGGCTAAGGAACAAAGCAGTCCCAGAAGAGGGGATCTCAAGTACCGGTCGGCAGCCGCTTGAGGATGGCAGGCAGGTCTGGCGCCGCAAACAGGCTGTGTCCCGCAGAACCCAATTCCATAGGAATCCAGGCTCCAGGGCCGGGAGGCGGCGGGCGTCGAGGACAAGCTCACTGCTGCGAGTCGGCCCGCAGCACCCACTGCAGGATGTGGTGGCCGCGCAGGCCACGGAGCGCGCTGTCGTAGACGGCGTTGACGCCGGCGCAGAGGGGCTGCCGCCGCAGCTCGGGCACCCGACAGGCCAGCAGCCCGCCCGCCGCGCACAGCAGCAACAGCAGCAGCAGCTTCAGCACGGCCCACGTCCTGCTGGGCCTCCGCGGGGGCGGCTTGCGGGGCCGGGGCCCGGCCTTCGGTTCTGCGGGGACAGGCACGACGCACAGAGAGGTTCGCTCGGTCTGAGGTGGCGCACGCTCTACCCGGCGGGTGCTCGCCTCCCTGTGCACACCCGCTCACACCCCCTTCTCGAACGAAGACCCCCAGGCCCCGAAACCCTTTAAGAACACCCGGGCGCTCATATGCCCCAATGATGCACAGACCGAGGCCGAAAGCCTCCCCAGTGGGTCTCCAGGGAGCGCGCTCGGAACGGGGATTCACTCGGATGCCTCACGCAGCTCGTGGGCCCCAGGGCCCCTCGGGGGCAGGGGACGGGCTGTTCAGGGGGCACTGAGCACAGGGAGCGTGCTGCCCATTTGGCAAAACAGGCCGGAGCTCTGCTACTATTGTTTGTGTTCTTATTATCATAGAAGATGCACGTAACAGAAACCCCAGGGCCACTCGGGCGGCGCAGTCAGTTTAGCGTCCGGCTCTTGGTTTCTGCTCAGGTCATGATCTCGGGGTCATGGGATCGAGCCTCGCATCGGATCCACCCTCAGTGCGGAGGCTGCTTGAGTTTCTCTCTCCCCCTCTGCCCCTCCTGCTTGTGCGTGCGCTCGCTCACCCACTCTCTCAGGTAAATCAATCTTAAAGACAACCCGGGAAGGTAAGCTAGCATCCTGTCAACGGTGACTGCCGCTGGGGGGCAGGGCGGGGGGGCCGTTCACAGGTGACCACCATTTTCTGATACATATACGGAACTCTGCTCGTTCTCGGGAATGAATATATATGTTACGTTCCTAATTTTTTTTAAAAATTGGTTTTGAGATCTTTTTAGACAAAACTTTAAAAAAAACTTGACGGAGTGCCCACACGCCAAGAACTGCACGATCCCATCACGTAGATTTTCTCGCTTAATGCTACCCCATAAGGAGGTCCGATCCTCGTTTTACACAAGGAAACAAAAAGGTGGTAGGCGGCTGGCTCAAGGCCAGCAAGCGCGAGCAGCAGGGCCCCAGGTGTCCGCCCACCCAACAGAGCTCCTTGGCCTCCCAGCTGCCTCTCCCCCGGGGGCCCCTGCTGACCCAGAGGCTAGGCGACCCGCCCCTGCACACGGAGCCGCCTCACCACACAAACAGCTGGACACTGATGTGGCTTTTATACAGCCTGCGGCCAGAGGATTCCTCTGGCATTCAAGCAAAGGGTGCGAGCTCTGTTCCGACCTAGAGAGAGCAGGAGAGGCAGTGCCGGCGTCCCTGGGATGGTGCCGGGCGCTCAGAAAGCCCATGTGCGCAGCACAGGCGACTGAGGGACTTAATTTTAAGGGCAATGTCTCCGCCTTGTCGCGATTTTAGCATCTGACCCTGACAAGAAGGGCAGCTCCCTGCTGCAGGAGCGCTCCCAGCTGCATCTGCCCGAACAGCAGCACCCGCTCCCCAGGACGGCCCCCCAGTCCCTGCACACCCTCCAAGCTCCTCCCGGGCCCTAGGGTGCTGTATGTGACCACAGCGGCCCCCGCTGCACCCCAGCTGGAACCCTGCGGCTGCCAACACGTACTCGGGGCCTGATTCGTCTCCTTCCTGGGCTTCTTCTCCTGCTCCCGCCTGGCTGCTTTGAGGGCGTCGTACTCCTTCCTCCGGCGCTCCTTCTCTTCCGCCTTCTCCCGCTTCCGCAGCTCCCGCTCCTGAGCCTCCTTAGCTCGCTGCTTGGCCTCCCGCTTCTTCTCGGCCTCTGCAGGAAAATGCACCCCAAAATGACTTCTCACCGCACCCCCACCCCCCCGCCAACCTGCAAGAGGGCTTCCCCGAGGAACTAAAAGCTTGGGTTTGGCCTCCCTTCCCTTATGCCACAGGTCATGTAAGCTGTATTAAGAGGAAACGGCGGTCTCTCTGCTCTCGGAGAGGTAAGCCCTCCCTCAGACACAATAAGCTGCTCTCAGGGTGTGCTGAATGGATTAAAGGGTCCCAAGCCCCGGGCAGTAGAGATTAGGGTGATGTAATAAGGGGCACAGGTGATGAGCCGCAGGATTCAGAAAGCACAGCGAGTGACCACCTTCTACAACTAGGCTGTAGAGAGAAGAGACAGCGGGGGTGTGGATTCTATGGGATTCCTACTTTCCCAAGCCTCAGAAAGGAACGTGGCATGGGAAGGGCAAGGAAGAAGAGGAAGTGAGTGCTCAAGTTCACAGTGAGAGAAGATGGAAATGTTTTCCTGAGAAAGCAAGACTAATAATTTGTCAGAGGGTAATCTCTACACTTCACCTCAGGAGTCTGTGAGGAGTCACGGTTCAAGTGCATTCACATCCAGTACCCAACTTACAAATCACTGGCTTCCAAAAATGCACTTCCAAATGAGTTATTTGGAAGCATGAAGTATATTTTTCCCAAAGCCAGAATGCCACAAATTAGGGAGTTAAACGTCCTTTTAGGGCTTAAAACCCTAACTGACCCATAATGTAGCTGAAGAGTAGTACGCTAAGTACTGGAGCTTTCCACTGTTTTTCTATGCACAAACAAGCTCCAAGTTCCAGCTGGGCACTGAGAACGCCAAGGACGCATTACACCCAGCCTGGAGAGAGCCCGTGGCAGCAGGAAGTCAAGCAGCCGTGGTCCAAGGAAACACGGCATCACAGGGGACACACATGTATAAGGACCTGGTGTCACTAGGCTCCATCTCAGGGTTCGCCCAGGACCAGGACTATGCCCGTCCCTCCCCAACCCCGGGAGTCCTCCAGCATTGGGGGCTCAGAAGTCAGCCCCCAACAAGCGCCCGCTGTGCACCAAGCCTTGTTCTAAGTGCTCGGGATCCAGCGGTGAAGACAAGTCAGGTTCCAGCGCCTAAAGCTTTCTAGAGACGGAGACAAATGAACAAAGAGTAAAGAAGACAATGATGTGTGCCATGGAGAGAGTAAGAGAGGTTGTGATGGAGTGACAGGCGAGATGGCAACCCAAGTCAGGGTGGTTCTGAAGGGGTTATGGTAACGCTAAGGCAACATGTGAGCAGACATGAGGAAGCACACGAACCCAGCCGTGTAAGGACCTGAGGGAAAAGCAACCAGGCACAGCCCCTGAAGCGAGAGCGGCCTTGGTGTGCTCGAGCAACAGCAGAGCCTCGCAGAGGCTCGTGCGGCTGGAGTTACCAGCATTCTCTCCCCGGCGTGTGGGACAGAGCGGAGGAAGCAAGCAGGCTGGGGCCACAGCGGGCCTTGTTGGCGACCGAATGAAGTTTGAATTTCATCCTAAGTTCCATCAGAAGCCATTAGAGTGTTTTAAGTAAATAGCAGCATAACTGACTTCTGTTTTAAGAACATCTCCACGGCTGCCGTGGAGGGGGCATGAGTGTGGAGACAGGCCACGGAGCGGGGAGGCGCCAGGGCCGGCTACAGCATGGAGGCTGAGTCACGGGGCGGCCCGGAGGGGAGGGAGCATCACACACAGGACTTGCTGGCCATCTTTCCAATTTCAGGCTTGAGTAAGTGCAGGAATGGGGACTGCCTATTACTGGGGGCCCCTGGGAGGGCTTGAAGGGGACTGTCTTGGCCATGCTTAAATTCCGATGCCTCTTAACCCTCCCAGCAGGCTGTAGGCCTCTGGAGCTGGGGATCGGAGACAGACCCGTCGGACAGAGATGAGGCCATACACCGCCACACGGCTCCCCGCTGCTTCCACGGACCCCAGCTCCTGCCACATGGGAGTCAGCGGCCTGGGAAGGATGGGAAGACGGCGGGAGGAGGGATGGCACGTACCTCGTTCTACTTCCAGCCGCCGCTGCCTCTCTCGCTCCTGATCGGCCTGCACGGCTTTCATGTGCTGTAACACCTGCGGAGGGAGAGGGGTGCTGAAGTGCCCCGAGCAGGGGGCGCCACGGGGCGCACGTCCACTAGGGAGGCTCCAAGGCTCCCCCTGCTCTTTTCAGGCTGGTGCAGCCCCATGCAACGCACAGTTAAGGGAGGCAATCCCGTCCCTCTTAACTCACGACGCTGGCCTTAGTTGGAGATGGGTCATTCGAGCCCAGGTCAGTAAAGCTGTGAGCAGACACATCTGTGAAACGTGCTGCCAACTGGAGTGTGTAAGTTACCGTCACACGCGCCATCCCCAGCAGCTCTGCTGACGAGCAGGGACAGCATTTTCCCCCAAGGCTCTCCGCCCTCGCTCCCTTGGCTACCTTATGCAAGTGCCGCCCCTCTCTGTCCTCAGGAGGCGGCTTACTCTCTCGGTCACAACACTAGGTTCCCTAAGGGGGGAGACTGCTGTCCCATCTGCCGGCTAGACACTCAATACATTTTTGATGAACGACTGCCTGGCTCCCCATCTCAAGAGGCAAAAAGCCAAGGCTGGGGGCGGGGGGGTTGATTTGTCCCCATCACATGGCTCCAAAGTAGCACAGCTAAGAGCTATGGTCTTCTGAGCTCCGGGGCCAGAGCCTGTCCCACTCACATCAGCACACAGAGCAAGGTAGCCTCTAGGAGGAAGGGAAGCGCCCTTCGGCCCTCCCAGCAGACAAAGCCTTGGCGCCCAGAGCCCCTCAATCCTCATCCACTCAGTCACGGATGGCCTCTGACTCCGAGAGCCCCAGAGATTCTTACTATGGGCACAGTGAGGGGAGAAGGTAAAAGACTTTTATATTTTAGGTTTGTTTGTACCTTTAGAAGCTGGTATCCCTTGGATGTAGAGGACAGAGTGAAAGCTTAGAGCCCAGCACAATCCTGACTCTACCACTTCCTAAGTGTGTGACCTTAGCAAGTGACTTAACCTCTCGGGCTCCCTGCAAGAGCCTGCTTTGAAGCCACGAGGAACCCTGTCCTGGGCCTTGAACCTGCTGCAACCTCTTGGAAGGGAGTCAAGCTCACTAAACAACGGCCACTCAACAAGGAGTGCAGGATCTGTTGGAAGGTCAAGCCTGATGTCGGGAGGCAGTCCAAGTTCGAAGTCCCCATCTCATTCTGAACTCCAAATACTAAATAAACACCAACCATTCCGGTGGTTTTAAGGGGTGTACAGGTGGCTAAATAAAGAGCCAAGAGGTTTAAGAGACATCCCTTTTCACCCGGGCTCCAATGCATCAGGAGTTACGTGATAACATAGCAAGCTCAGAAATGGGAGTGACTCGTCTAGTCTGGACTGGGAGCCCCAGAGGGCAGATTTTGTCCACCTGTGCCAGGCCACAGCCTACAGTAAGCACTTAATACTGTCCAGCTAACAAATTATTTTTAAAAGGGGCTGTACTCTGTACCAAGCTTATCAGTTACTGCAGCTGACCCATGCACCCACACAAGGTCAGAGCTGGTGAGGTCTAAGCTAACTCCTGGAGACAAGTGACCTCATCCTGGCTGGCCCAAGCCACTCCACTACGACGCCTAACGGTGTGCTGCACGCTGCACTCAGGAGACCACGTTGGGCCACAGAGTCAGGGAGCATGGCTTCAGTGACCACACCCACAATGCTGTGGGCTACCTGGAGCTCTGTCTGGAAGCTATATGCTAATACTAAAGATCTTGGTGCTCAATTAAAAATGATCTTTGTGGAATATATCAGCAATTTCACATGGTTTAACATATTATTAGTTGAATGAATACATGGATAAATGAAAAGTGTGTGCATGGTGAGCGTTTCTTGTGTCAGAGACATAGAAGGGAGCTCTACTTCCCAGGGTTATGAGGATCATGAGGTGAGGCATAAAGCACGCAGGACAAAGGAAGGGTGGTTGGTCAGAGCTCCTGCCATTCTTCAGAACAGACAGCACACCTAGAGCACGGGGCCTTCACTTATCATTTGTACTGTTCGCAGCTAAGGGCAAGCTGTTGCCGTGGCTACCGGGCTGCAGTGACCTTGTCCCTGGTCTCCTGTGACAACAGGTGAGACACATGATGAGACTTTCTAAGAAGCTCGGAACTAATGATAAGAAAAGCCATTATCCCCGAGATTCACGTAGAGACCCACCATGCCCACATTTCACTTCCAGTAATTCTAGCATTTGAAGTTAAAGCATTTCGAGTCCTTTCTGTTCATCATGCCTCCTAAACATGGCCAAGTAAGCCATCTGGCGCTCAGCTGTTCTAAAGCTGGAGGGAAAAAGTGACCATGGCTGGCGTTGGAGAGATGCAGTGCGAGGCATGCGGCGCCTGGGGGGGCTCAACTGGTTAAGTGTCCGACTCTTGATTTTGGCTCAGGTCGTGAGCTCAGGGTCGTGAGGCTGAGCCTTACATTGGACTCTGCACTCAGTGTGGAGCCTGCTTGGGATTCTCTCTCTCTGCCTCTGCCCCTCCCCTCTCGCACACATTCTCTAAAAATAAAATAGAAATCCTTAAGAAAAAAAAAAAAATAAAGCAGTGCGAGGCATCTTCAGGGCTGTTGGCAATGCCTGCCTTCCATTCTGCCTTTAGTTCCTCGCTCCTACATCAGATGACTTGACTGAAATCAAATGTCAGATCTGCCCAGGATGTGTCTGCTTATAGGCATATAAGCTTACGAATATTAACAACACTTATTATCAAAATTCCTACAATAACTGTGACTCAGATAATCTTGTCCCATTTAAAGAACTGTCAATGGTGTAATGCTGGATTAGGCAAGGTCCCGGTTTCTTTCTTTCTTTAAGATTTTATTTATTTATTTATTCGTCAGAGTGAGAAAGAGCGAACAAGCAGGGGAGAAGCTCCCCACGGAGCAGGGTGCCCGATGCGGGGCTCGATCCCAGGACCCTGGGATCATGACCTGAGCCGAAGGCTGCCGCTTAACCGACTGAGCCGCGCAGGCACCCCGAGGTCCCGGTTTCTTAAGAACGGAAGTTCCGCAGTAGAGAAGCTAGTACTGTTCTCCTACTTGTAAAGTCAGCACAGAAACAAAGGTCCCTCTGCCTGACAGGCTAATAGCAGCCATATTCCACTGAGACCCTAGTGCTGGAAACCTCAAACAGGTGAGGTGTGTGCCCTGGGAGGGAAAAACAAGAGGACGAAGAGGCGAGTCCCAGAGGACCATGCGACCGTGTGGAGGAGACCCCGGGGAACTTCGTGCTTACCTTGTTGGCACACTGCTTACACTGCTTCTCGTCCAGGCAATCCCCTGCCACTTTGGCCAGGGCAGGATCCAGCGGGTTATCCTTTAGGTCCAGCCATTTCAGGCTCTGAAGAGAGAGGACAGAGAGGCTGGTCAAGCCCAGGTTCACACAGAGGCCCTCAAGGTGAACCAAATGAGCGGGAAGAAAGCCCCAGCCTTCCGAGGCAGCACCCCCAAGGTGGTGTTCGTGCCAGCCACTCACGGCCGTGCTCCACCCGTCCCTGGGCCCTCGGCCTCGCCTGACACGAAACACTGGTTCCTGAACCGTTACCTTGAGCTGAGCAAAGCTGACGGGCAGGGTCACCAGCCTGTTGTTGAGGAGATCCAGGTGCTGGAGGTTGACCAGACGGCCAAAGTCGGCCGGCAGTTGCTGCAGTTTATTCTTACTCAGGTCCAGCTTCACCAGGTGTGTGAGGCCACAGAAATCCGCCTGGGACCAAGACAGGGAACACCTAAGCCCCGGGCTCACAGCTCGGAGTGACGATGCAGGTTAACCCTGACCCTGCCCGCCACCAGCTCTTCCACCTGGAAGGAGATGCAGCCGACCCCCAGCACTTCCGCTCTACGTAGTGAGATGCGTCCGGAGGGGCGCAAAGGAGGCACAAAGTAAGTGTGTGTCCCCTCATGCTCTGCGCACCCTCCAACCCGACCTCCACATTGCTCCTGCAGGGACTAGGGGCCCGTCCGGCCCCCCCACGGCACCCCAGGTTCTCCCTTCTCAGGAGCGCTCAAAGCGCAGCATGACCATCCGCTTCCCTAAAAAGATCGAACGCCCCTCAAGTACTCAGTCTTCTTCTCTGTTCCTTGCAGCACCTAGCACAGCACCCGTCTACAGTGTTGCTCCCACCTCGGCGCAGAGGCCCTGCTCACGCTCTCGGGGGACCTGTAACCGCCAGCGGACCGGCACTGCCAAGGAAGGCACGAACAACTGAACACATTCAGACTGAAAAGCGCACTGGGGGCCGCTGCGTGACTACCGACAAGCACAGCGGGCGGCAAGCACCTGCCACCACACTTTCACTAGACATGAAATGCCTCCTAGAAGCAGTGGGATCTCGGATGCTTTTTCATCGTGAGAAACGGTTCTTGCTGAGCTTCGAGAAGATGCTAGAGAGAATGAGGCCCAGGGGAATACTGACAGGGGAACAGACTAATGACCCAATGAAGAAACTGCCAACTTCTGAGACCCGATCCCCGAGCAGAGCCCAGGGGAGCTGGGCAGGGAGTGACACGGCCAGAGTGATCGCTGGTAAACACAACAACGGCAGCAACAGACTCAGGCCTGACAGTGAAGGCGCGCTGCTCTGGAGCCCAGACCTGCCATCACCCAGAAGGGGCTGAAGGGCTGAACCACTCCGGGGCCTACGAAGGTAAAGGACTGCAGACTGAAGACATAGCAAAGCATATAATGGAGAAGGAGAACTGGGAGAAGTTATGGAAGAAAAATCAAAAGGATCTGACCACAGGCTGGATGTGAACAAAAAAGTGTCGCAAAGTAATTCAAGGGTTGGGAGAACAATGATACAGTAGTCCCCAAAAGCCACATTTTTTTTCCTGTTCCTCATCAAAAGATACACAAGGAAGCTGTTCATAAACAGCTTTCTCCCTGGAATGCAGAGGAACGTACAGAATGGCCTCTACTCTCCTCTACACGATAAGGAGGTAAACTATTTTTCCAAAGGAATGAAATAAGGCAGAAAAAAAGATGACCCCAATAAGTGATTCAGCCAGCATTCTGTTGACTTTAGTTTTTTTTTTTTTAAAGATTTTATTGAGAGAAAGAACAAGCGTATGGGAGAGGCAGAGCGAGACGGAGAAGCAGGATCCC